CCTCTTGTGTCCCCTGCAGGTGTGCCTCCTGAGTCCTCTGCAGGTGTGCCTCCTGAGTCCCCGGCAGGTGTGCCTCCTGAGTCCCCAGCAGGTGCACCTCCTGAGTCCCCAGCAGGTGCACCTCCTGAGTCCCCGGCAGGTGCACCTCCTGAGTCTATCTCAGGCAGGTGTGCCGCCTGAGTCCCTGGCAGGTGTGCCTCCTGTGTCCCCTGTAGGTGTGCCTCCTGAGTCCCCGGCAGGTGCACCTCCTGAGTCTATCTCAGGCAGGTGTCCTTCTTGTCCTCAGCACAGATGTACTTTCTAGGAATAAGACCATGGAAAGTATGGGGGTGTGTGTCTGTGTGTGTGCATGCATATATACATGTGTATACATAGGGGACTAGCAAATGTGTACACATTTTAAGAAAGGAAAAAACTGTATTAAAATTGTGATACTCAACATAAAGTAGTAACATTTGTTATCTTGTGTGTGGTACCTTATATTTCTTGTAAGTGCGAAAGTCAAACATGATGTGAGTATTGCAATTTTGATTCCCTTCTTTCCTTTCTTAAAATGTGCATACCTATTTTTGGCACTCTCTATATTTTGTACGTTAGAATTTAAGAATAACAGAAAGTCATCAGAATAAAGAATAGTAAGATGGTATCTTGTCTGTTTTAATGCTAGTTATATGGAATTTATGTAGAGTTTGTGTATGAAGAATTCAGGATGCCACCTTTATCTTTCCTGATTTTGATTTTTGTTCTGTGTGGATGCATCTGTCTGCGTTTTTCAATCTTTACCACAGCCCAGACCTTGACAGTAAATAGTTTATAAATATGGAGTTGTACTTTCTCATTTCAGCTCTCATGTTGATGATTTGTCTAAAAACTTTTTCTCCCTTCTTTGTAGGTGTTAAACCTTTCAGAGAAGAGATATGACCTTGCAAAGCTTAACCCAAAGGTATGGACTTTACCCCTTAATATTCCGAATTTTGTTAAATGTAAGCAATACTCTGTGTGTGCCAAAGTAGTTTACTACTCTCCATAAAGGGTATTAGGAATTATTCATATCCATTTGTTATTTTCTTACATGAACACTTTTTTTTAGCTTCAAATAATTATAAATTCATAGGGAGTTGCCAGAACAATGCAGAGATTTCATGTATTCCTCCCCCAGCTCCCCCAAAGGTTAACGTTTTGTTAACTAATAGTAAAATACCTATGCCAGGAAATTGTTACGGTCCATGGACCTCGTGCTTCTCTGTGTGTGTGTGTGTGTGTGTGTGTGTGTCTCAGCCACTTCATCTTGTGTGGAGAGTTGTGTAACCACCATGACCCAGACACAGAACACCCCCAAACCACAGGGTCTCTGTCCTGCTACCTCGTGTAGTGTGTGTCTCAGCCACTTCATCTTGTGTGGAGAGTTGTGTAACCACCATGACCCAGACACAGAACACCCCCAAACCACAGGGTCTCTGTCCTGCTACCTCGTGTAGTCACAACCATCCAAGCATCTCGTCCAGGGTGTCACTCCTTCCATGATAATTTCCAGTAGCAAAATTTGGGAGATCATTTTGAAGATTGTACAAGCATAAGTTATGATATATAGATGTGTATATTTTGTACACTGGAATATTTTGCAGCCATAGAGTAAAAGAAAAGTAATATGGTAAATTACCTATTTAATGCTAGTTAAAAAAGTAGAATATAGAATTCATGGCCAGGCGCTGTGGCTCGCACCTGTAATCCCAGCACTTGGGAGGCCAAGGTGGGTGGATTGCCTGAGCTCATGGTTCGAGAGGAGCCTGAGCCAGACATGCCTTTCTAGCAAGAGCTAGACCTTGTCTCTAAAAATAGCCAGGTGTGTGGCTGGTGCCAGTAGTCCCAACCACTGGGTACTTGGGAGGCTGAGGCAAAAGAATCTCTTAAGTCCAAGAGTTTAAGGTTACTGTGAGCCAATGCCACAGCACTTTACCAAGGTGACAAAGTAAGACCCTGTCTCAAAAAAAAAAAAAAAAAAAAAAGGAACATAGAATTTATGTATAATAGTATCTCAGTTATGCTAAATAGACATAGGAGCCTGCAGAGTCGTGTCGCAATGTTACGGTGGTTGTCCGTGCTTGCTGAGGTCGGGGTGCATTTTAGTGACTTCCTATTTCCTGGCAATTTTCTGAGATTTCCACTCATTTTACCCTATGTCTACGACCTTAATAATGAGAGGACCTCTGAATCTTCTCCACTTAGAAAAAGGAAATAAAAGGAAAGAAAGCCCACTGCATGGCCCCTGTGACACCCTGGATGAGACGCTTGGAGCTGCTGTCCCTGTGCACAGAGCCGGCACGGCCTGATCACGTGACAGGGGTTTCTTCTCTTTATGCAGCAAACTGAATCGAGGTTTGAAGGTGCTTCCTCCTTCAAAGGCACAGTCCTGTCTTTTAAGGAGTTTGCTGTCTTTGTCTTGAAGGTGTCATCTGCACAGCGTATGGGGGAATGGCCAGCTGTTCCCCAGACTTTGATTTTTAGCCTGAGCAGACAGATTTGGGCTGCAGCAAAGAGTCCCGTCTCAGATCTCTCTGGGCTTCCCCTCCCCACACAGTCCTGCACCATCAGCAACTCTCCAGAGACCTTTCTAGACTCATCACTCCAGCTGCAATGGAGCCTGTGAGCCCTTGGAAGAAGAGGTGTCCTGTGTGGACGGCATACCACTGTATTCTTTTCTGTTCAGTGAAGGGGCTGGCCGTGCTGCTCACAGAGTGGCAGAAGAGACTCACGCTGTATGGTTCTCTGTTCCTCAGTAAAAGTATTGATAATGAGTGAGGTCATCATGAGATGGCCCAGAGGGCTTCGGGAACCGGGAACTAAGGCTTGCCTCTCCCCTTGCAGATCATGGACGTGGGCTGGCCGGAGCTGCACGCGCCGCCCCTGGATAAGATGTGCACCATCTGCAAGGCACAGGAGTCCTGGCTGAACAGCGACCCCCAGCACGTGGTGGTCATCCACTGCAGGGTGAGTGCCCGCCTCCTAGGCACTTGGGGTCCAGGGTCCTGGGAAACGAGGGCAATGAGATGGAGCCCAGTGCTAGTCCTGTGAGCAGCTGGCTGGCCTGGTCTCCACAATACCTTCTGGCTAGTGTGATGTGTTCTCAGTGGGTTCAAGTGGGTTTTCCTACTTGCCCTTAAAAACAGACAAGCAGACAGAGTTACCGGACGTCCCCCAGTTTGGCTTTAGAATTTATAGGATTGGGTTCCTTGAATGAGTGTCTGTAGATTTTGAAACTAACATCAGATGGTAATGAAAGCAAATCCTTTTGCTCGTATTCATTTTTATTTCTTGTGGAAAGACTTTTTTCAAAAGAGAAAGTCACTTTTTGAATGGATGGCACCAGCCTGGCTGTGCTGTCTGAGGCTGGTAATCTGTTGATGGACTCGTGGTGACGCTGATGCTCGTGCAGTGAGCATTGGTCTTTCCTGTGCATCCTTACAGGGCGACCAGTGGCCCAGCTGTGTGGTCAGCGGGCCATCTTCGTGTTTCCTCCTTTGCCCTCCTGCGATCTCTCCCTTTAATGCCCTGTGCTGCCCCTGAGTCCTCAGAGGAGACTGGTGTTGAAAGGCTGCCTCCTTCCAGGAGGCCTTTGTCACAGGAGAACAGCTTATCCCAGACTCCTCGAGGAATCCTTTGAGGAGCATTGCCAGTGAGCAGGGTCGCCATCCGTCAGGGGGCAGCCCACAATTTTGTTATGTTTGACACCACCTTCTTGGGACCATCCCAACATCTAGGAATGTGGACATTTCATGGCAAAAGTGCCCTTTCCCCAGGTTGTCTTTCACATTTAAAAGCTGCAGAGAAATCATTGTCTTCTGGAATTCAGCTGAAAAGAAACTTCTCTGTGGGTCCTGGTATTTGCTCCAGCAGGTGCACGCAGGTGTCATTTGTTTCTGTGCTGTTTTGTCAAACTGTCTTGAACATGTTTCCCCCCACTAGACAGATACATCCATTAGGACGCTTACCAAATTGCCCGTGTCAGCCTGACCTTTCCCTGCTATTGTATTAAATAAGGAGCCTCTGCCCAGATTTGTGTTTTAGTGCAAACTAAATTTAGAAAGAGAGTAAGAGACTTTTTAACAAATACAATTCCTACAACTTAAAACAAACTAAGCTCTTCAGGCTTGACCTGATGATTTTGGCACAGAGTGCCCAGTGCTGATGGGTCGCCGTTGTCCAAGGTCACTTCACAAACCAGTGATGCAGCCCCTGGGCGCTCGTGAGACGCAGGTGCAGAGCTCTCCCAGCCCTGCTGCAGCGGTGCCCTCAAAGGACGCTGGACTTGAAAAGTACCACCCTTGGCGGTCCATTTCCTCTTGTTCAGTTTTTTTAATGAAATTGAAAGAAATTAGAAATTATTTAAAACCCATAGGTCCCAGTGATGTAATCATCACCTAAATTTCTAAACCGCATCCTTTACTTAGGCCACTCCGGCTCTCCGGATAAAGCTTGTTAGTGGAATCCCCCAGGAACGTGTTGAAACTTCTCTGAAGTGATTTGCGCTTCCCTCGCCCTGCTCTGGTGTCACGTAAAACCATTTTTCAAATGCTTAGAAAACGTGCCATGAGGGATAAGCCCTCTTTGTATTTGAAATTGCTGATGTGGACATTAGCAGAAGTTCATCATCACCACTGTGGGGGTGAAATCGCTGACATTTGCCGAAATCTGCCTGCTTTGCAGAACATGCGTTTCTTCCACACATGCCGGGAATTCCTCACATAGCTGGGCCTGTCTCAGCCTGGGCAGGAGCAGGGCGGGTCAGTCCTGCCAGGTGCCCACAACCCCCGTGTGACGTGAAGGGTCGTGTTCATGTAGGTGTGTCCTGTTCCTCTAACCCACCCACCCCCTGGTTACTGACTTAGCAGAAATAGCCTGTGTGGTCCTTTTGAGAAATTTCATCTACACTACAGCTTTTGTTTGCTGAAGAATATTCACAGCTAATTGTACAAGTGACTCTGTGATTTTTAAGAGTCCAGCTCCAAACTATTCAAGTCTAAAAGAATGTTGTTTACACTAAAACACAAATGCCCACCAGCCAGTTTTACCCACTACCTGTTTTCCTACGACCTGTGAGCTGAGTTGCATGTATGGGAAAATCATATAAAGTAGAAATGTCAGCGTACGAGCATAGAGTTTGGTTGGAACTCAGCTTCCCTGTTTGTTTACATACGTCCCTGGCTGCTCCCGCACACACTGAAATAGGAGGTTTGAGTATTTGCAGCAAGACCTGGTGGCCTGTAAAACCTGAAAGACTCAGGATCTGAATCTTTTTTTTTTGGCCCGGGCTGGGTTTGAACCTGCCACCTCTGGCATATGGGGCCAGTGCCCTACTCCTTTGAGCCGCAGGTGCCGCCCTGATCTGGATCTTTTAAGAAAGACGTCATATCAGGTTAGTGCTGGCCTTGTAAAATGACTTTGGAAGTATTTCCTTCTTGTCAGTTTTTGTGGGGAGTTGTCTTAGTCTGTTCTCTGTTGCTTGTAACAGAATATAGCAGAATCTCCTGTAGTTGACCACCTCCCTACACTGACCACCTCCCTACACTGATCCAGTTTTCATAACCCCAACATGTCTCATGTATGTTGTCAGTAGAGTAGGCCTAGTTCCTTATGTTGCCCGCTCCATATGTGGGCCAGTTCATTACGGTCCCTTGGAAGGGAAACTTATAGAGGTTCTATTCTGCATGAAACTGGGTAATTAATTTCTAAAGGAGGGGAATTTCTCACCCCACTTACAGAGGGTGAGAAGTTCAAGGTCCAGGGGCAGCCTCTGGTGAGGGCCCTTCTGCCGGTGGGGACACTCTACAGAGTCCTAAGGTAATACACGGTGAGGAGGCTGAATGTGCTAGCTCAGGTCTCTCTTCACCTCTTATAAAGCCACCAGTCCCACTCCCATCTTAAGGACTTAGTTCTGCCCTAGTCATCTTTTAAAGTCCCAACCTCTGGCTGAGCACAGTGGCTCACACCTGTAATCCTAGCAGTCTTGGGAGGCAAGGCAGGTGCATAGCTTGAGCTCCAGAGTTTTCCAGACCAGCTTGAGTAAGAGCGAGGCTTTGTCTGTACTAGAAATAGGAAAACTATCCAGGCGTGGTGGCAGGCACCTACAGTCCCAGCTATTTGGAAGACTGAGGCAAGAGAATCACTTGAGCCCAAGAGTTACAGTGAGCTGTGATACCATGGCACTCTACCCAGGGTGACAGAGTGAGACTCTGTCACAAAGAAAAAAAGGCCCCATTTTGAAACCACCACATTGTGGATTAAATTTCAACATATTTGGAAAAGGTAAATATTCACCCCGCAGCAGAGTTTGAGAAGGGTTTTTGAGAAGGACTGATGTCATTTTTCCTTAAATATTTGGTAGAATCACACCAGTGGAGCCATCAGGTCCTGTGCTTCTCCTTGATGGGAGAGTTATTATTGATTCAGTTTCCTCACTTGTTATTGGTCTATTCATGTTTTCTTTCTTTTTTTTTTTTTTGAGACAGAATGTTACTTTGCTGCCCCTGGTAGAGTGCTGTGGTGTCACAGCTCACAGCAGCCTCAAACTCTTGGGCTCAAGTGATTGTCTTGCCTCAGCCTCCTAAGTAGCTGGTATGACAGCCGCCCGCCACAACACCTGGCTATTTTTAGAGATGGGATCTGGCTTTTGCTTAGGCTGGTCTTGAACTCATGAGCTCAGGCAGTCCGCCCACCTTGGCCTCCTAGAGTGCTAGGAAGTTAATATTTTCTATTTCTTTAGGATTCTGTCTTAGCAAGTGGTTATGTGCCTAGGAATTTATTTGCTTTTTTTAGGGTATCTAATTTATTGGCATATCATTGTCACAGCCGTCCCTTGTGATCCTTTGTATTTCTTTGGCATCGCTTACCATGACTTCTCTTTAATCTGATTTTATATGACTCTTCTTTCTTTTCATGTTAGTCTGTCTAAAGATCTTTCCAGAAAACCTACCCTCAGTTTTGTTGATCTTTTCTAGTCTCTATTTCGTTTGTTTCTGCTTTGATCTTTGTTTTTTTCTTCTTACTACTAATTTTGGGTTTAGTTCTTTTTCTGGTTCCTTTTTTTTTTTTTTTTTTGAGACAGAGCCTCAAGCTATCCCCCTGACTAGAGTGCTGTGGCATCACAGCTCACAGCAACCTCCAACTCCTGGGCTCAAGCGAGTCTCCTACCTCAGCCTCCCAAGTAGCTGGGAACACAGGTGCCCACAACGCCCGGCTATTTTTTGGTTGCAGCCGTCATTGTTGTTGGGTGGGCTGGGCTGGATTTGAACCCACTACCTTAGGTATATGTGGCTGGTACCTTAGCCACTTGAGCCACAGGCGCTGAGCCCCTTTTCTGGTTCCTTGAGGGGCAACATTAGGTTTTCTGTTTGGGAGCTGCTGCTTTTCTGACGCAGGCGTTAGTGCTATCCACGTCCTTCTTAGAACTACTTTTGCTGCTCCCTGTAAGTCTGATGTGTATATTTCTGATTCTGTTTGCCTGAAGATGTTTCTGCATTTCTCTTTTGATTTCTTCTTTAACTAGGGGTTGTTCAGGAATGTTGTTTAATTTCCACGTACTTGTCAGTTTTCCAAGATTCCTCCAGTTATTGATTTATAGTTTCATACCATTGTGGTCAGAAAAGGTACATGGTATGATTTCCATCTCCTTAAATTTGTTAAGACTTGTTTTGTGACCTAACGTGTGAGCTGTGACTGAGAGGCTGTGTGTACACGCTTGAGAAGAAGGTGCTTCTGCAGCTTGTGAACCAAATGTTTCGTGTTAGGCTCATACAGTGTATTTGGAGTTCAGTGTTTTCTTTGTTCTTCTTCTTTTATTTTTAAGACAGTGTGCCACTCAGTTACCCAGGCTAGAGTGCCATGGTGTCAGCCTTACTCACTGCAACCTAAACTCCTGGGATCAAGTGATAGTCCTGCTTTAGCCTCTTAAGTACTTGGGGCTACAGGTGCCTGCCAGGACACCTGGCTAATTTTTCTATTTTTATTAGAAATGACATCTCACCCTTGCTCAGGCTGGTCTCAAACTCCTGACTCAAGGGATCCTCCTGCCTTGGCCTCCCAGAGTGCTAGGATTACAGGTGTGAGCCACTGTGCCTGGGCAGTGCACTGTTTTCTTACTGATGTTCTGTCAGTGTGTTCTGTCCATTGCTGAAACCTGGGTTTGAAGTCCGTGCTGTTACTGCGTTATTATCTCTCCCTTCAGCTCTATTAATACTGGATTTATACATCCATACTTAGTGCCTCAGAGGTTATTGATGTCACGGGTGAACGCTGTCACCCTCCCTGTGTGCCTGTTTGGCCGAGATGTTGCTGTTTCCTTGTAAGTGGATTTCTGTACAATATAGTTTTATGCAAGCAGCATACTCAGAGCCGCACTTGCCAGGATTTAGGTATAAAGGGTTTGTTGAGTGCTTACATGGAATATCTATAAAGCATGCTCTTAACTTTTACCAGACAGAGGAATGCTTCTGGCTGACACTCGTGTGATTCTGGGTTTATCAGAATTTTGGTTTGAATTTTTTCCTTTTCAAGAAGTTATAGAATGCTACCTGTAAGGGACCCTGCTGTTTGGCTTTATGTCATTCTGAATCAGGAGTTGGCAGATGTTTTCAAACATCTAGTATTTTACACTTTGCAGCTGCGTGGTCTTGCTGCATCTACTGAATCCTGTCCCTGTAGTGTGGGTGGCACCTGCCCTGGGATGTGTGAACAAGTAGGGATGGATGGCTGTGGTCTAGTCACACCTGATGTATGAACTCTGGAATTTGACGTTCATCTGCAATTGGATCTTATTTTTTTCTTAAATTATTTAAAAATATAAAAATGATTCTTAGGTTGTAGGTTGTAGGAAATGAGGTAGTGGTCTGTATGGCAGGCTGTGGTTTGCTGCTTGGTGTTCTAGGTCACAGTGTCATCTAGAAGGTGTCACTCTGTGGTTTGGTTTGAGGGTGGCCTGACACATAGCTTCCCCTTCTCCTGGTGGTGTCATTGGCCTCCTGTGGGGCTTGGCTTTGGGTGTCTGGGGTTGCGGTTTGAGTGATTCCTTTCCCAGAACACCTGCCTGGGACATTGGCGTCCTGTGTGTCACCAGGGAGGGCTGTGTGCAATCCTGAGCTGGCATTCACTGCCCCTCACCTGGGTAATTAAGTCATGCTAATTGCTGCAGTTTCTGGCACAATGGCTTCCTGCCTAATTGGGTGAAATGCGGGCCTTGCTGTGTCTATCTGCCCTCCAGGACTTGCAGTCGGCGCTCACATTTGCTGTTGGAACCTGGCACGTGGGTCCCCCAGCAGAGGCTTCTGTTGTGTTGGATGGTGACTGTCCCAGAACAGGGAAGCTGGGTCAGAGGAGGGGGTAGCACTAGTCTAACCTTTAGAGCCAGCTTTCTGAATGGGCGCCATGGCTCACCCCCATAATCCTTCCACTCTGGGAGGCCAAGGTAGGAAGATCCATTCAGCTCAGGAATTTGAGACCAACCCGAACCAGAGCGAGACCCCATCTCTAGTAAAAATAGAAAAGCTAGCTGGGCATTGTGGCAGGTGCCTGTCCCAGCTACTTGAGAGGCTGAGTCAGGAGGATCACTTCAGCCCAGGAGTTTGAGGTTGCTGTGAGCTATGATGTTATGGTGCTCTAGCTGGGGCAATGGAATGAGACCCTATCTCAAGAAAAAAAGCCAGCTTTCTGTCATTGTGTCCTAAGGTGAGAGTTTTCCTGTTCTAATCACTTCTCTGTGCAGATGCTGGAGGCAATGAGCTCCTCTTTTGTCTCCTGCAGGGTGGGACAGGACGCATCGGAGTGGTCATATCGTCCTATATGCACTTCACCAATGTCTCGGCCAGGTAGGTTGGAGACTAGTTGGAAACATCGGCCTGCTGCGTTGGGCTGTTGACACCTGAGACCGCCTGTGGCAGGTTGCTGTCTCCCTGGGGTTGTCCTGGATGGCGGGGCCTTGGCTAACCCGTGGCCCCTGACCCCAGTGCTGAGGTGGTCAAGGCCTGGAGATTCAGCTTCCACTTAAGGGTTTACACTTGTGAAAAAGACATTTTCCTGGTTGGCAGCTGTGTATGATGAGACATTAAAAAAATAGGTGCGATCACTGTTGTTGTCAAGTAGAAATAACAGAGGTGAACACTGTCAATGGAAAGCAAAGACAAAGTTGTCTCCCTGGATTAGTTTATACCTTTTGAATAATTAGGGTGACAGCCACTGTGTTTTGCTTGTATTGACCCTCTGGGAAGCACACTGAGTATTTTCCTTTTCTCCTTGATTTTCCCCCACTAACCCATAAGGCAGTTATTATTGTTCCCATTGTACAGATGAGGAAACTGAGGCTCAGAGGGATCAGACAGCGTGCTATTCATCTCACAGCCTGTGAACAGGAAGCCAGGTCTGGGCTGATTCTCAACAAGTGCAGCAGTCACCGTGGGGATTTTCAGGGTGCCACTGGGATCCCCACAGCCAGGCACAGCAACAGGGCCTCAGCTCTGCGCTGTCTCCTCTGGCACCTGGCAGCCGTGTTGTGCCCTGACGGGCTTCCCAGAACACAGATCTCTGCTCATGCTGAAACTCATTTTGGAAAATGTCATTCTTTGTGGGTTTTGTGCTGCGTGTGCTCCGGCTCCTCAATGCTCGCTTTGTGAAGCCCGAGCCTCCACTCCGTGGATATAGAAGCCTATTCATAGTAGCCGATAAACCTTTTCCTTTCTAGCACCAAGGAGTGAAATTTGACTTTCTGAATGTTTTCTCTGGAAACAAATTGGGGAGCTAGTGCCTGCCAGAGAGGAAACCCAACCCCTGGGTGAAAATCAGATCCCCTCTTGGTGAGAATAATCATCTGTGTGTGTCCCAGACAAACTGACATTCCCATTCACATCCGTCCCTCAAATATGCCAAAGACATTTGGTTGAGGTTAAATTTAGCCCGGCTAGTTTTGGACAGAGACCACCCTGGGCATTTCTGCCCCAACAAGGCAGTTTTGTCTGAATTGAGGGTCTACACACTTACTGGTCTTGGCATTTTGGGGGGAGATGCAGCGTAAGAGCCTAATTCATTGAAAGTACATCTGTGAGTTTCTTTCTAAAAAACTCTTTTCTGCGAAGAGTCAGTATGTATCTCAGCTGCCGGTGGCCGGCAGTTTGTCTGAACTTCTTTAAGCCTCAGTGTCCTTACCTGGAAAGTGGGATGATAGTTGCATCACTCAGAGTGTTGTTACATTGAAAGCACTTGCAATGGAAGGTCACTATGAAAGTTGGACCTCTTACGGCCCATGATTTCACTTCTAGGAAACACAGCATCCTTTCTGATTCACCTGTGCAAGTTTCAGCTTGCCTGGCTTATCTGTGTTGCTGGGAGGGCCCACACAGATTTTCTGTTTCTTAAATTTTGTGTTTCTCAAAACTCCCCTAGTGACCCACATAGAATAACGTCAGTACTCAGGTATTTGCTGTTATTAAAGCTGCTGTGATTAGTAGAACTAAGTAAGTTTTTGGCTCAAGTGACTCACAGTGGTAAGTGCTTTTCAATTAACCGAGCTGACTCCACACGCTGTACCTTGCTTTCCACTTCAGCACCATTTCCTCTGTGTGTCCCCCCATTCCAGGGGCGGCACAGCCCTTCCTTCAGTGGATCTATTACATATTGAAGCATCTGTTGCCTGCCCAGATTGCTTCTAGTTTTTCCTGAGAATTTCAGTTGTTTCTGCTTATTCTCTACTCCAAAGCTGGCTGGGAAGGACACATTATTGTATGTACATCTTTGATCGTTTCTGCAATTTTCCTTCTTAGGTTATATTTCAGAAGTAATCACATGTTTAAAGGTCATTACCACAAACTGCACAAACAGAACAAGATAGAAACTAAAAATCACAAAGGAAGAACAGTAAAAATAATGAGCGTTCACAAAGACCGAGCCAGCACTAATGTTGATACTAGTAGTTATATCAACGTGGAGCATAACATCGGCCAGAATGTGTTATGACCAATTAATAAACAAGCAAGTTCAAGATAAATAACTACTTAACAGTCACTGAGTAGCTATTAAATACACTTTCCTGCATAAAAGACACATCTGATCAACAGATGATATATCCTTTGCCTAAATGGACCTTCTGTTGGTGACAGTTCCAGCAGTGAGCCGTATGCTCAGCCAGGCATCAGCAGCTAGTTATCCTTTTTAGGTTAAACTTAAATTTCAGTGTTTTCCGTTTTCCTTCTGCCTGTTCCTATGTTTTTTCCTGGTCTTACGACACTGACAATTCTCATATACGTAGGGGTCATGCTTTTGGAGGAACACATACACAATTTTCCAAGAAACAGACCTGCACTTCTATCAAGTTTGAAGGAAGTGTTTGGCGCAAGTGAGGCTGAGTTGTTAAGACTTATTGCTTTCAGATTCCATGGTGTGTGCTGAAATCATCTCCAAAAAACCTGTGAACATCCTCTGAGGTTTCTGGAAAGTTCTGCTGAGAAGCTCCACGTGGGCACTGTGGAGTGTGAGCGTAACATCCAGTGCATTGTTGGCAAGCTGGGTGCCTTCTGTGGTGGTTACTTCAAAATGTGACTGCAACCCGAGGCCTCAGGGGCCTTTCCAGGTCCCTCTGGGCTCAGCACCTGCACCTCTCGAGTGTGTCTGGCCAGCCCACATGTGTTTCAGATACACTTCTTGGGACGTAGCGCGGTGTGCACTAACTGTTCTGCCCTGGGTTTGCTCCCCACATCCTTGAGGCCTCTTATCTCAGGCACAGCCCATCTACTCTGTCCTCCTTTGTTGGGGTGCCATGCTGGCCAGGGACAGTTTTAGATCCTGGCCTTCTGCCTGTCTGCTGAGAAACCCCAGTGATTCTCCTCCCTGGGGCAGGTGTGTGGCCCCTCTGGGTGTCCCGCCCTTAGATCAGCTGCTGGTGTTTCAGAGGAGAGAGTCTGTACCCTGTAGGTGTGGCTTCCACTTTGAGCGGAACACAGTCCTACAGGGCAGATGGAGTCTCAGGAGAGATGGGTGGACTGTGTGCACAGGCGCAACCAGAGGGTGAAGCCCCTGTGGGAGCTGGTCACTCGGAACAGCCATGGGACAAATGTCCCCTGTCATGTAGCCACACAGAAGGAGCTCCACTGGGTTGATGATGTCTCTTTCTGTCTCTCTCGCTCTGCTTCCCCAGTGCTGACCAGGCCCTTGACAGATTTGCAATGAAGAAGTTTTACGATGACAAAGTTTCAGCTTTAATGCAGCCATCTCAGAAACGGTATGTATACACCCCAGAGTCAGAGTGAAAAGAGTGGACTGGTTTATATTTAAAAATGTGAAAAGAGAAGAGGCATCTCCTCTGACCTGCCCTCCAAATGGTATTCTTGTGTCATGTGAACGAGAAGCTTCTTCACACTTGGAGGTGAGCAGATGAGCCCCACTGTGGTGAATGGGGTCCAGAAGCCCCCACACTGCTGCCTTGCTAGGAGAGGTGGGCCAGGACTCCCTCTCCTTGCCCTCAGCAGCTGGGGTCTGCCTCTCTTGCAGTGAGTTTTGATTCTATTATTGTGGACTGTTTTTAATCTGCTGGACTGGGAGTCAGTGAACTTGTAGTGTGATGATGGACTAGAGCAGGGTGCAGGCCATATGGTTTCTATCTTGGCTGTTTTCATAGGCAATACAGACATCAGTGAATGTGGCTGCATTCCAGTAAAACTTTATTGACACAGACACATTACCAGGTTCATTTGGCCAACCCTTGTAGCAGCCCATCAGCTCCCAGAGGCAGGAGTACTTGTCTCTCACATTGCCCATCTCTCCCTCCTTCACTGCGCAGTGTGACCCCTGGAAGGTGCTCAGCGTGTGTGTCAGGGAGCAGCTGTGGAAGAGATGGCACTCCCAGGATGAGGCCAAGAGCTCAAGTAGGGTCGGTGGGGTGAGGGGCAGTGAGAAGGTGACACTTGGAGCCAGGCAGTTGGCTCCATTGCATTTTTATTTGAAAACAAACAGCCAGGAATTTATACAAGAATTGCCAAGGTGATTGCCAGAGGGTTCTGAGTCTTTAAGACACCAGAGTTGTAGGCTTGTGCCTTTGTCTTCTCTGTGTCAGCAGATACCAGTAGGCAGCCAGGGGTACCGTCTCTTTTTGTGTGGGGTTTCTAAGGCCCTAGGTCTTTTCTACCTGGATGGGGTGTGTGGGAGGAAGGAGGTGGGCAGAGTTGGGGCAGTGGGGAAGCTTCTGGCTGTGCCCTGCTCTGAGCAACAGGCTTCATATGGAAGGAAAGTCCCTAACAGAAACCCCAGAATTTCATTAGTATTATATTAAATAGCCACTTGCTCAGTTTTGAACCAGTAAGGGTTATTTCTCTGTTGACCTGTTTCCGGAATGGTGACATTCATACAACCTTCCCCAAGGAAGATGAGGCGTGGGCAGGGACTGCCCCTGGCACAGTGCTCAGCCTGCGTTCAGGAAGCCTGGCTGCCCTTGGTTCCTTCTTTCTGTTCTTGTTCCTCACTGCACCAGTGGCTTGTTAATAGCATTAACAGACTGGGGGGTGGGGGTGGGGGAAGGGAGGAAATCACTGCATTTTATTTTTTTTGGTAGAGACAGAGTCTCACTTTATCGCCCTTGGGAGAGCGCTGTGGCGTCACACAGCTCACAGCAACCTCCAACTCCTAAACTTAGGTGATTCTCTTGCCTCAGCCTTCCAAGTAGCTGGGACTACAGGCGCCCACCAGAATGCCCGGCTATTTTTTTTTTTTTTTTGGTTGTTGTTGCAGTTTTTCCGGGCCGAGTTCAAACCCCCCACTCTCAGTATATGGGGTTGTTGCCCTACTCACTGAGCCACAGGCACCGCCCCAAATCACCTCATTTTCACATGCCCAAGGTTCTCCTGCGGCCGTCCTGGCACTGCATAGTTGAAGCTGAGGCATTTGCATTTTTAACAGTGTAATTGAGTGATTCAGTTTTGCACTTCAAGGTTAATTTCCTTGTACCCAAGATAAGGTAAATGTCCTCACTCTTTGCTGTTTTCCTGTCACCTTGCCCTGTGCTTGTCCTCTAAGATGCTGACCAGATGGTCAGGGACTGAAGAATGTGCAACGACCGTTGTTTCTATAGGAACTCTTCTGCCATCCTGAATGCCCAGGTCAGGGTGGGTGCCCTGCAGGCCATTTTGGGACTGAGCTCAGAAATCATTAAAGTCAAACTTGTAATAATCACTCCTGAGGGTGATGAATTAACTAGGGAATTGTGGCCCAAAAACTCTTCACCGTGTCTGATAGGAGGTGAGGTCTCTGTTACTTTGTTACACTCAATAGCTGCAAGCTGAGCCCTCAGGGTCAAGCCAGCCCCACCCAGTTGTAAGTTCCCTGTTTCCACAACCCTCCAGAAGCAGCCAGTTCACCCTGGTGTGGCCTCCTCCCGGAGCTCACTACTGCTGCTGTGTTCAGGAGCCCCTGACCGCCCCTCAACTTGGAGGCCTTCCTCTTTGATGAGTAATTAAACAGAAGTCCTGGTGTGGTCTCTGCTGCTGATGAGCATGGGGAGAGTGGTGTGTTAAAATCACTAAGGTCACTGACCTCCTCCCCTTTCATTTCCACTTTTCCTTTCTTCTGAGAAGGAATCAAGATGGCAGACACATTTCTTGGCCCCATGACTTTGAGTGAATGGGGAGAGAGGCAGGTAGCTGGCTCTTTCTGGGAGACCTGACATCTCTTGAGTGTCAGCTGCAAAAGTCACCCTGGGAGGTTCCAGGTGGGAGTCACCCAAGACTGCCCCTGACGACTTCTGTGCACCTGCGGTGTCCCTTTGCGGTGAAGAGAAGAGAGACCAAGCAAACATCTTGCTGTGCAGAAATTAGGACCCTAGAAATCATCTTGAGAGCTAGAAACATAGAAGTCACAGCATTCGCACTCTCCAGGGGGACATAGAAGTCACAGTGTCCACACTCTCCAGGGGGACACAGAAGTCACAGCGTCCACACTCCCCAGGGGGCACTGCCATGGTGTCAGTGCCTCACTCACAGAGCTGGGGACTTAAAGGAGACAGCCAGGCCTGGTCAGAGTGTGTGGCTCCTTGAGGAACAGTCGCTCTCATCTTTGTGCACGTCTATAGTCAGAGGTGGCCTGGAGGGCATTCAGGAGAAACACAGCGGCAGGGGCACCACAGAGGCTGCGCTCCCCAAGTGGCCGCATCCTTTGATAATCTGCACACCTGCTCCCCTTGCATCTCTCAAGCGTTCTTTTAAACACCCAAGAATCAGGCCAAAAATGACAGAAATATCAAAAGCTAACTAAAGCTCTAACTGGCCCTTCCAGCAGAGCAGTGCCCCCTGGGGAGTGTGGACGCTGTGACTTCTGTGTCCCCTGGGGAGTGTGGATGCTGTGACTTCTGTGTCCCCTGGGGAGTATGGACGCTGTGACTTCTATGTCCCCCTGGGGAGTGTGGACGCTGTGACTTCTATGTCCCCCTGGGGAGTGTGGACGCTGTGACTTCTGTGTCCCCCTGGGGAGTGTGGACATTGTGACTTCTGTGTCCCCCTGAGGAGTGTGGACGCTGTGACTTCTGTGTTATTTTCTATTCTGAGCATTGCGTCCATGCAACTGGGTCATCTTTGCAGCAGTCCCAAAGGATAGGTGTCATTGTTCTCCCCCACACATGCGAGGGGAGAGAGTGCTAGAAATGTTAAGTAACAGCAGGGCAGAGGAACAGAGAACAGCCAAATGTTCTCACCAGCAGGGCAGAGCTCCCCTTTCCGTGTCAGTGTGTGCTGGCCCTGCCCTGCAGCTGACTCCCCCCCCCCCACCCCGCCCCAGGGATGCTAGAAATATGCAAAGACGCCCAGTTACAGTGAAATATGCAAGGATGCCCTGTTACAGTGGCTCTTGTTGCTGAGAAAAGTGCCATTTGAGTGCTGAGTTTTATATATCTACATTTCCAGAGAGAAGTAAGCTTATGTCCAGTGCAACCCAAGTGTATAGGTGTAGAGGGAGATTGATGGGAATTCCAAGTGGTTTTTGCTCTTGTAAGGGGTTCTAAGTGATGCCAGAGAGGACTGAGAGTTCCAGCCTGCTTTGGAACACGGACGAGCATGTGCTCCTTGTTCATTCCCTCGAACCTTGAAAGCAATCCCTTGATTTTTAAAACTTACTAGTTTGAAATGAAAACATCATCCCTAGAAAGTCAGGGGATTATTTCCCAAAAAGAAAGAAAAAATAGCAATGGTAAAATAACGAAGCTATTTTTGTAAAATATCTGGCTTCTAATCTGTGTTTGCTAAGTAGAAATATTTTATTTTTGATGAAGTCTCTTGAGGTGGTCTTCAGAGGGTGTCGAACGCTCTATCATTCATTCATTTATTCATCTCTACCTTTAATACCATTGGTAAATAATCATGTTCACAAAAATCGATTCTTTCCACAGTTGACTGGATAAACTCGTGAAATCCTTTCCCATTATTTCTGTTTCCCCTTATTTTCATCCATGGTCTGAATTTTCTTTTCCTTGGTACTGGTGGTGACTCTAGGTGGTCCCCTACAAACTCAGTACCTTTGCACGTGGCTGGTTACCTGTCTGCCACCTACAGCAGCAGCTACAGCTTGTACTTGAGAAGACCTTTGCTGTTTGTGTAAGGCACTGCTATTTGTTTTATAGGTCATCTGTTTGTTTGGGGCTTAGAATGGTATTCTTTTTAACAAAATGTTTTTCTTATTAACAAAGCATGTGGTGGAAGAATTAAGTGGCACCTAGCTCAACGTTTTATGTTTTTCATTTACCTGAAAATAAGAATTCACAAAAAGTCATTTTCTAGAAAGAACAGAGAGAATTATGGGCCCAGCGGTTATTTTTGAAAGTATTTCTTTTCTGATGGTTAAGCTGTGAACTGAGCAGGCCTTTGTAGATTGATGGGGAGGCTGATGACTGTTGAGAGTAAATTTGGGGGACCCAAGGCTCCAGAGTCCTGATCCCAGGCAGGAGACGACCTCTTTCCCTTCCTGTCTGACTACAACCAAGCCTGTGTCCCTGGACGTTGGCCTCCTTTCAGGGTTTATGGCAAACAGAATTATCCTGCTATCACCTTAACTGTTCTCATCTATAAGAAATTACTTCTTGTGCCCTCTCTGGTAACAGAGACAACAATTACAACCAGGCCACATGGGTAGAAATGAAGGGTTCATGACCATAGTGCAGGACGAGACCTGGGTTAGGGAGAGGCCTCAGTTTCCTGGGGAAGTTGTTGGACCCTGATGGGCCTTTGCAGCAGCTCTGGGCTCAGC